ATTATAAGAAAAGAGTGAACTTCCATAGAAAACTTCCAATTTTAATGGTGTCAAGTGAGTATTATCTTATCCTATGTCACAATCAAAGCTCGTAAAATAATCTTCCATGGGTGGATTAGGTATCTTGTTCACGTAGTGGATAACAACAAGCCTAATATCAATTTAGACAATGTTCTAGTAGTTCAAAAATTTGTTGATGTATTTTCTGATGATTTGCATGATTTACCAGATGAACGTGAGATTAAGTTCAACATAGATCTAATTCCAGGTACCACTCCAATTTCTAAGACATCATATCATATGACATGTATCTAACTTCACGAACTCAAGACAGTTATAGGAATTGTTTGATAAATGATTCATTAGACCCAATGTTTTACCATGGGGAGCACCACTTTTGTTTGTAAAAAAAATAAAGATGAAAGCAAGAGATTATGTATTGACTACTAAGAGTTGAGCAAAGTGATTTGAAGAATAAATACCTTTGCCATGGATGAATGATATGTTTGACTAGTTGCAATATTTTTCTATGTTTTTAAAAATCGACTTGTGTTTTGAGTACCATCAATTGAAGATTAGAAATAAGGGTCTAATATAGCTTTCGATTTTAATTAGTCATTATAAATTTTTAATCATTTCTTTCAAATTGACTAGTACCCTCACTATTTTATTGATCTGATAAACAGTCTCCAAATCTTACTTAGATCATTTTGTGATTGTATTTATTGATTTAGTCATGATTTAGTCAAAGAATAATGAGCATGCCAACATCTTAGAATTACATTGAATATTCTTCAGGGGATTAAACTTTATCTGAAATTCTCTAAGTGTGAGCTTTGGCTTTAAATGACATGTTTATTAGTGGAGCTAGAATTTATATGGATCCCACTAAAGTTATAACAATAATGGATTGGCCGAGCCCAAGCACTGTCACAGAGATTCCTAATTTTGTTAGCCTAGCTAACTATTACAAATGATTTCTAGAAGGTTTTTTAAGAATTGCTTTTACTTTGATTAGACTAACTCAAAAAACCATTAAGTTCCAATGGTCTGATGCATGAGAACAAAAATTTCAAAAACTCAAAAATTGCTTACTATCAATTTTTATCCTCACCATTCCTTCTGGTACCAATGTATTTCAAATTAAGGCTTGAGTTGTGTCTTAATGCAACAAAGAAGAGTCGTACCTTATGATTTTAGACAACTCGATGTTCGTGAGAAGAAATATCCAACATATGATTAGAGCTAATTGTAGTTATTTTTGCACCGAAATTTTAGAGGCATTAAATTTATGGCATTCGCTATAATGTTTTCAAATATCATAAGAGTTTGAAGTATATCTTCACATATAAGGGTTGAACTTGAGATAGAGCCGATAATTTGAATTAATGAAAAAACTACAATTTATATATTTGATACCACCTGAGTAAGTTAATGTCATTGTAGATGCTTTAAACGTTAATGTCATTGTATATGTTTTAACGATGAAATATTCATCTTATGCATCATCAAGATCACTCACGTGCAACAGTTAATACATGAAATAGAATGAGCAAGTACCTTCAAGAGGCAATTTTGTTATTAATCGTATGACTGTTCAGACAATGATTGCTGATTGGATTCATGAAGCTCAGAGGGAAGGCACTGACTTGATGCAACCCAAAGAGCAAGTTTGGAATGGATTGAAACCCGAGTTCACTATTAATCAAGAAGGTGCATAAAAATTTAAAGATCGATTATGTATCATAGATCACATTGAGCTTTGACGTAAATTTCGAGAAGTGCACACTACTCTGTACTCGAATAGCTTTATTTCAACAGTTCTCTTTCAATGCTCTTTTTATGTGTTGTTGTTTCTACTTTATTGTTGTATTATAGCTTTGATTTTTGGTAATGAAAGGAAATTTTACTTTTCTTTCTGCTATTTACGCTGATATATTCTATTATGTTACTTGCATATGAAATTTTTTATTTGAGAACACAATAAATTTTACTCATCCCTTCATCATGTCCCGTATTGCTGAGGTGACTGCCTTCTAGACCCAAGGTGTGACAGAGTAAATAAACTACCTATTTATTTCCTTGTTATGGGATGGTATTGGAGATTTTTAGGACGTTGCAGCCACTAAGTGAAAATTCTAGAACCTCAAGATTGCAACAAACAATTGAGATGTAGCATTGATTACTGGTTGACAGCAGCAAAGGGTCTATTGGTGGTAACAACCGGAATGCAGTGGCCTTCAAACTATCCAACAGAATTGGAAGGAACTAATACAATGCATCTAAGATTTATTGTTTTTTATTCCTCAGTTCAGCTTTCTTGTCGAGTCAATTGATTACCTTATTTCCTAAGTTCCATAATGTTACAGCAAGGTATCAAGAAATGCCGGATAGAGCCTTGATTTGGATGTTTTTTCTTTGTATTCTCGTGTATACATTTCTATAAAATTACTAATTTGAATTACTGATTCAGATTCGGGTAGTAGACTCTAAGCTCCATCCTTATCATCGTTTTTTATCAACCCACTTATCATTGTCCCTCCCAATTTGTACTTGCGCTTAATACCCCATTTTTTTTATGAAGCTTGTTTATTTTCTAATCCTTCTTTTTAAACATTATGGAACTTGCCCTCCATTTACACTTGTTAGAAATCACACATTGTTGCTAAGTTTATGTTTGCAGGAGACAACTCAGTAAAATAAACTAATTTGAACAGTGACACGAAATTTAAAAACTAAAATAATCCACCGTATATGGCTCACCTGTCCAAAAGGTATGCATTTACTTCCAGGTACATGGCCGCTTCTAATTCCTTTGCGTGGTTCAGGAGCAGCACCATCAAATCTGTGGGAACAAAAGCACGGCGTCTCTATCAAACTGGTATCAATAATCAATTCGGACATAACGGAGGAAACTCTACGCATTTAATAAAAGTTAATTACTTGATGGAAGAAGTTAAAGGCAAAGCTATTAAAGTATGATTATAAGCAAAGTAACAAAATAATTTAAACAAAATCTATTAAACTATGATTATAAGCAAATACAACATAATTAATATAAGGTAAAGCTATTAAAGCATGGATCTAAATCAGATTTTGTTGGATCGAGAATGTTGTAGTCTGCCAATTCATAGAGTTAAATTTATTAAAACAAAACTAATATTATTAACGAAGTTTTGCCAAAAAATTTACATGAATTGATATGAAACATAAATTTAAAGAGTAATATTTGTCATTTAGTATATATAAGGACCAAATGCTTGATAAACTTAAGAATTGTAAATAAAGTGATTATAGCGCAGTTAAATATTATGCAAGGTTTAAAAGTCTTATAGCCAAAATATTAATTGCCTCTAGAATATCACATTATCATTATTTATTTTATTAAAGATATTAGGAAGAAAAATATGAATTAAGATACAATTCATCAAAAATACTACATGAGGTATTATGCAGAGCTTTAGATATTAAAAAATATTATAATTATTCTCTTGTTAGGACTACACCTATAATTATTATTTAGGAAGAAAATTTTTTAGCAACTCCTGTATAGCCCCTATCAAGCCCACAACAAGAAAATAAGCATGTATAAAGAAAATTATAATTCATGAATTTTCTTGATAATGAATTAGATGTCAAAAATTTCTCCAAAAAAAATTAGCTGTCAAAAGAAGATTAACAATTACAGCATGGATCTAAATCAGATTTTGTTGAATCTAAATGTGCACTTACAATCATTAACCTAAAATCTATACTTAAAACAAGAATAAATATTTGAATACGAGATTGAAATTGATCGTAAGATCATGTCTGAACACGAGCTTATGATAAAATAGAATCTATTCCTGAATGTGGCATCGTACAAATTATGTTTGTAATTGATGCATTAATTAAGCAATTTGATAAAATAAATTCCCAAGATAATTTTCAGTTAATATTATTCCAATGATGATGATAGGAAATACTTGGTTTCAAGTAGTTCCTAGTCAAATCTGAATTAAAACAAGAAGAAAATTGCTGTTTTCTGCAGTGGACAGCAGCCAAACACAGGAAAACAGCAAGAAATTGCGAGAAAACTGAGAGAAAACTCAAGCAAAGGCTTGTATTTTACTAGTAGACGAATAAAATCAGCAAAGATACAAGTGTTCTTCAATTCGAGAGAAACCATTCCCCCACCATCCGCTTTAAGTGCAAGATGATGAAATTTTCAATTTTAAATGTCAAACTCTCAATATTCAAGCTCATGCTACTACTATATACAGATAACACATATTTCTACGTATCTGATTGACGCTAGCCTTAATCGAATGTTCTCTTTCGTTATTGGGAGGGGTAATTAACTATAGGGGCTTGTGCCTATAGGAAACCAGAACTCATATCATAAAATCCTCGCAAAATGAGGGTAAAATCTTTGGGTAGTGTCTTATCTACAATCTCAATTTGTCTTCCCAAATTTTACCCCGAAATTTAATCTATTAAAACTACCCTGAAAGCAGGGGAGGCCGGGGCGCGAATTTTCAGAGCCCACAAATCAATAGGATATAATCGATAGGGCACAAAGCCCTCTGTCATATAAGATGGATTCCAATTTATCCCTTTAGACAAAATCCACCCGATGTCTACAAGGTATCCTTGGACGAAGCAACTCATGGTTGCTGACAATGATCCTCCTGTCTGGTTGGGTCGACTACCTTCTCTGACTAAGTAAACCAAGGACCACAATGGTCGGGCACGACGGAACCATGGGATCTTGATCGGGCTCATCATCACTCCCCCCACCATCTGCTTTAAGTGCAAGATGGTGAATTTTCAATTTTAAAATATCAAACTTTCAAATACCCTAAACCAATGCTGCTACTATATGTCAGATATCGCGTATCTACAGGTACGACATATTCATCGAACGACTAGCCTTAATCGAAAGTTTTCTCTTGTTATCGAGATGGGTAATTAACTATAGGGCCTTGCGCCTATAGGACACCATAACTCAGATCATAAAGTCCTCGCAAAATGAGGGCAAAATCTCTGGGTGTGTCTTTTCTTCAAACCCAATCTGTCTTTCGAAAATTTATTCCGAAACTTAATCCGTTAAAACTCCCCCGAAAAAAGAAACGAAAAAGCGGCGGGGAGGCCGGAGTGCGAATTTTCGAAGGCCACAATTGTGATTCATATTATACTCTCCAAAAGTATTCCCTACAATTAAATTTGGTGAAAATTTTTAGCACCTACTTTTTCTAAGAGCCTAGCAACTTGGGCATTAAACAGACATTACCTTGAGTACACTTATAGCCATTAATGACAACGCCACACCTACTTGATGTGGGAACTTGGATCTTTCATGAATGCGCTAAAAGTGTCAGAAAAAAAAAACAATAATATAAGAAATAATTTCAGATCAATCAAAATGGTTTGCATCCCTATGATGGCAAACCACTATCTCAAGCTAAATGTGTGGTTATAGCAATATGATGACGAGTACCGCCATTTACATTCAGAACAAGAAACAGAATGGACCTTAAAATTCCGTAAAAAGATATTATATCAATGATTCCGTGAATAGCAAGCTCCATTAGCATTTACCATATGAGGTAACAATACACACAACTTGGTGTGGTGGGAACTTAGATCGTTGGAGAATCCTCTAAAAGTGGTTGGACCAAAATAAAGTAATACAAGGAACAGCATCGGATCAATCAAGACAATTTATATCCCAATGAAAGTATGTGCCACAAGCTAAATATGGTAAATTTGTGTGTATTGTTACCATATGAGGTAACAATACACACAACTAGGTGTGGTGGGAACTTAGATCGTTGGAGAATCCTCTAAAAGTGGTTGGACCAAAATAAAGTTATACAAGGAACAGCATCGGATCAATCAAGACAATTTATATCCCAATGAAGGTAAGTGCCACAAGCTAAATATGGTAAATTTGTTCTTCAATCATTCAGTGAATAAGCTGGAAGATTACCTTACTTTTGATCGAGCATCTACATGTTGATGAGTTTGACTATTAATGTTTCCTCTAACCTGGGATACAAAAAATCGTTTTATATGACATTAAGAACTTCTGAAGAAATAAATACTTGAAGAATTTAAGTTAGGAATGACTAACAAATTGAAAATTTTTAAAGAAATGGCTGATCATAACAAACAGAAGCTATTACAAGCTAAGCACTGTATTAATATACCTAAAAGCAGATGCAACAAACATATCGCAAGGGCAAAATAATTCTATAATGGAATAATGTTCTTACCAAGAAAAACCAACTTAGCAAGTAGTAAATGCACGTCAAGATTGTCAGATATAGTCAGTGAGAGGAGGTCCACAAGATGCAACTAAACAAATGGATTTGAAGACTTCACAAATGAAAATAGAAATTGTTAAAGAAAATCAAAACCAGAAATCCTTACCCTAGCAACTAGGATTAAAATGATTTACACTTTGAAGTCTCTCAAAACAGTCCAGCAAAAATCAACCAGTCTATTTAACTGAGATATTAGTCAAATGTGAAAGTGCACAAGTCACGTGTTAGCTAGGCTTGATATACTTATGACATTCTTTGCAAAAAATGGAACTACACCCATGGATAAATGAAATTGATATGTGCAAAATCTCCCAGTGTTCACCACTCAGGCATTTTAAAGTAATGTATTGGATGAAGTTCATGAACAATCAACCAAGTCAAAAATTAAAAAAAAAACAAAAAAACCAAGTCAAAAATTCAAACTGCAGATACAAGTTGATGGATATGCTCAAAACTCTTCACCACTCAGGAGTTTTAATGCAATGTATTGGATAAAGCTCATAAACAAAGTAAAAAATTCAAACTACAGATACAAGTTCATGGATCTCATTCAACCATTAGTGCAATCAGTGCTCCTCCTATGAATGAGGATCTTAACCTCTCCAATTATCTTGATAATATCTCAGTGCAAATACCGTAATCCCAACTGTGCAAATTTACATGGGACAGTCAGGATAAAATCTACTATTCTTTTTTTCAAAATGATTTTGCCTTTTGTGGGCCTGATGCTAGCGAGCCACTAAGTGAATTGCATGACTGGGATGATGGAAATTGCAACTTCCAATACACATGGTAATTGGACAGGATTCATGTACAAGTAATAAAGAAAGTCAATTGGATAGAGCAGGATATGAACGTTGATTCAAGTCACAAACTCAACAAAAAATTGATCAGGGAAATCTCACCTGTTCAAGGGTCCAGATCAAATGACGCTGGAGTTTTGCCACAAAAGTTGTAGGACCAACCTGAAAACCAAAAAATTATTAAATCACATGTAGCCTTGGTTTATAGAAAACCGAACTGAAATGATATGTTGCAACAAAATCTTGTTGTGGGAAAAAAAACTATAGTTTCAGATGAACATGTAAGACATCGCATCCAAGCCCTAGTGCAAAACTATATATTTGCGAGCACCATATTCATAAGTCCATAAGAAAAGAAGTGAAATGACATGGAAAGAAACGCAAAGGTCTACAAATTTTAAAGTTAGAATAACTAGACATGCTTTGTAAGTAAAGCACAATCTCCCGGCCCTTCATTACTCGTGAAAATCCATTTCATCTAGTAAGAGAACAGTTGTAGGTAACTTACAAATTGATGTCCGTACACCTTTTCAACTGCTTCAATTGCAGCATTAGCTTTCAAAACCTCATCTCCGGAAGCACTTGATTCAACGTCAAACTCTGAAGCACGCCAAAGCGGCAAACCTCCATCCAATACCCAAACTTTGTCATGTCCAAAAACTCGGAACATCCTAGTCATTGATGCAAAAAATAAATTACTCTCCACTCCTCTTCCTCTTCACTCCCTTGCTACATCAGGAATATACAGTTGGACATTCTAATTGATGAAAGCTAACAAAGAAGAACCAAAAGAAAAGCAGGTGGGTAATAATTAAACAAAATCAGAAGAGCAACATGATAAGTAAGCCTCAAGACAATTCGATGCAAACTAGAGAAACAATTTTAAGTTCTCCATTGTGCATAGTTATTTTTACATCTACTATTTAATGTTGGATATCTTACGGTTGAGAGTTTCCATAACAAATCTAATGTGAGATCACAAAATCATGCAAACACATAAATCACATATTATAAACTTTTATTTTTTATAATTATTCATATATTTTAATACTAAAACAACAACAAGCCTTCATCCCACTACATGGGGTCGGCTACATGAATCATTTTTTCTCCATTGTGTCATGTTAAGAGTCAAATTCTAATTTAAATCTAATAAAGAAAAGTCATTTCTAATATTTTCTAACCAACTCTTTTAGGTCTACCTCTAACTTTCTTAACATAAGTCAAATCTAATACATCTACTCTCCTAACCGGGTCATCTGAAGGCGGTAGTCATTTTATGTGACCAAACCATCTAAGACGACTCTCTCTGATATTATCTTCCACTAGAGCCAACATTTTCACGTATATGCTTGTTTCGTATCCTGTCTCTAAGAGTAAATCCACTCATCCACCTGAGCATCCTTATCTCTGCAACACTTAACCAAATATTATGCTTCTCTTTTAATGGCCAACAATCTGCACCATAAAGCATTGCAGGTCTCACCACCATCTTACAAAATTTTTCCTTAAGTTTGAGAGGGACTTTTCTATCACACAATAAGCCCGATGCATTCCTTCACTTCAACCATCCAACTTGAACTCTACAAATAATATCCCAATCTATTTCACCATCACTCTGAACAATAAACTCAAATGTCTAGAACGTGTACTCTTATTAATAACTCGATCGCCCAAAGTTACAACCCCCCACTAGATCTATTATTACTAAAATTACACTCTATATATCTACTCAGACGAAAACCTTTAGCCTCTAAGGTTGAGCTCCATAATTCAAGTTTACCTTCAACTCCCTCTCTAATCTTATCAACAAGAAGAATATCATCAACAAAAAGCATACACTATGGTACAACCTCTTGCAAATGTCTAGTGAGAACATCCATGACTAGTCCAACTGAAATAAAAAATACTTGGTCAAACCACCTTGTGTTTGAACACAAGTAACAACTCCTGCATATATAGCCTTAATGACTTGAATATAAGCATTATTAACCCCTTTGTTTTCTAGAATTCTCCATAGCACTTCTCTTGGAACTTTATCATATGCTTTCTATAAATAAATAAATATCATATCTAGATCCTCTTTATTCTCTCTATACTTTTCCATCAAAACTCTCAATAAATGTACAGTTTACATAGTAGACCTACCCGACATGAATCCAAATTGATTTTGATTCATTATATTTTAATGATAATGAAAAATATAATGAGAATCAATGGAGATGATAAATCAATAATTTTCTAGGTGAAACATCTAGAAATTCGCAAACATAAAAACCTATATAACTAATTGAAAATCCTAAAATTGTATCTAAATTGAAACAAATCAATTGTGCATTCAAAACAATAACATGCTTTGGAGAAAGTAAATAAAATGGAAGGAATAGAGAAAGATTCGATACGAGGTCGCCCAATGCTTAGAGGAATAACCATGGAGTCGTAAGTGAATAATAGAGAAGCAATGAAGCATCATAGGAACAGAGAAAGATTGCCAAAGCCCTTGATCAGTAGAAGGATCATAGAAGCTTAGGTCACATATCACAAGAGCCACATATTAGAGTAAGATTGTGGAAGGTCACTATAATCTAGAAGCTAGTCAAGAATCGACACAAGGTCATCCAATGCTTGGAGGAGAGGAGTTGTTGAGAGGTAATTGAAAGCCAAAAGGAGAATAGTCATTGCGAGCCTAAAAGTTGAGAGAAGAGATATTCTTCCGCATCAACCAGACTTGGAAAAATTCGAGCCCAATGAATTGTTCAATTGATATTCTTCCAATGGATATGGGCATAGTTCTTTGATTCCCTATAAAAAATTTCCTAATCATCACATAGTATAACTCAAATATCCATTATCAGTAGCGCATGTGATTGATCTCCAATAATAGATTCAAGAACAAGATGGTTGTCAAATGTTTTTGGATGTAAATCTAGATGAGATGAAAAAGAGAGAGAGAGAGAGAGAGAAGAAACTAAAGTATTGATTGATGGTTCTTATACAAAATCAAATCAAACAAATTAAAATTTGGAATAATATTAGAATTTTTTTAGTTTTCTAACATGTAAGCATTCATCCTAATTCATTGTATCAGTCTAATCTCATTTTTCTTATAGTTGATTTCTTAGGAATTCTAAGAAACTTTGCAAGCTTTAAATGAACCATTATCTTATCATTTTGTTTGCATTCCATGCATCTCATGTTCACAAATGCAACAGACCTAATAGATCACACAAATCATGTATATGACTAATGAATTACAAAATGTAATAATTATGCATGTAATGATAATGCTAGAACACTATAAGCATAAAATTGATATAATATAGGCATTATCAATAGAAGAAGATGAAAATTTATAATTTATATTTATTAGGAAAAAGTAGTTGATGATTTTTCTTCTCAAAACTAACAAACCACATACATATGACTTACAAATCACATGGATGGAAACTAACCCAAAAAGCATAAAATTAGCCATGATGAATCTTGTCCCTTTTGGATTGGACAAGATCAATAGTTTTAAGTCAACCTTTCATCAAGATAATTTTTTATCAATAAATTCTTTGAAATTTTAACCCAATTCAACTGTCTCGAAAAGATTTTTTTATGAATTTGTAAATCAATAAATCATGTACCAAAAACAAAACCAATATCAGTTTGATTCACTAACATAAAAATAATTTCAGTAAATACTTCAGCAGAAGTTATATTATCAGATGGTTCAATCAATTAATCAACTATAATAAGCATGATTTATTCAATTTCACATTTAAGGATAAATTCAATGTCTAATTGAAGGTTTTTTTTTTTATTCTTTTTTTTTCCTCGTTTTTTTCTTTTTTTCTTTTTTATCATTTGAACTATGCATTAAGTTCAAACATAATCTCATATTGAAACTTAATTTAAGATTCAAATTTCAACTCTTGCTTAATTTTAGGTTCAATTGCATGGAATGTGTGCTGCTATAGATTTCAAAGGAAATTCAAAATTTAAAAAAAAAAATCAAATGTAAAATCATAGCATAACTGTACATTTTCTTGTACGGAATCCATCATTTAAAAAATATTGATGAACCACAAGTTCTTCAATAGGTTCAAATTTAAGCATACAACATATTTGTATTGATATGCATTTGATAGTCTTTAAATAAGACGTTATGATTTTTCTATAGAAATATTAATCATTTATGTAATAGTCCTACTAAGATGAGAATGGCTATAATATTTCTCAAACACCAAAACATCTATATAATAAACCCTTATTTGTCATCTTTGTTTAACTGTAGTTTTATTCATGCTTAGTTTCTTAACTAAGATATTTAATAAAAAGATATTGATAGCATAGTAACCTATGGGCAAATGATATTTGTATTCAAGACCAATAAATCTTATAAAATATTTAAATGGACTATAATCATCTTGTTTAAATTCTAAAATGTATCACGCAATTAGTCCTTATAATCACAACAACGGCAATAACAAAAAGTCTTTATCTCACTACGTGATCAGCTATATTTAAATGAACTATAATATCTAATAAAAAAAAAGTCATTTCTAATGCTTTCTAACTAAGCTTTTTTTAGGTGTACACCTTCCTTTCTTAACATAGACCGGATCTAATACATCTATGTTCCTAACCGGGTCATCGAAAGGTCAATGTTTTATGTGACAAAATCATCTACGATGACTCTCTCTCTAATCTTATTTTCCACTGGAGTTAGCTCAACCTTCTTATGTATATACTCATTTGGCATTTTGTCTCTAACTATAAAGCCACTCATCCACCTGAGCATCCTCATCTCTGCAACACTTAATTTAATTTTATACTTCTCTTTTAATGGCTAACATTAAACGTCATAAAGTATTGCAAGTCTCACCACCATCTTATAAAATTTTCCTGTAAGTTTGAGGGATATTTTTCTATCACACAAAGGACTTGATGCATTCCTTTAAATCAATCAACTAACTTGAATTCAGCTAAAAATAACCCCGTCAATTTTACCATCGCTTTGAATAATAGACACGAGATATCTAAAACGTGCAATTTTTTAAATGAAATGATCACCAATGTCACAATCCCACTACTAGATATATTACTACTAAAATTGCATTCCATATATTCAGTATTAGAGCTACTCAAATGAAAACCTTTAAACTCTAAGGTTGACCTCCATAATTCAAGTTTTTCTTCAACTCCCTCTCTAGTCTTATCAACAAGAATAATACCATCAGTACAAAATCATAGTAAATCCTCTTGCAAATGTCTAGCAAGAACATCCATGAATAAAGCAAAAAGATATGAGCTTAAAGCTGATCCTTCATGTAATCCAATTGAAATAGGAAAATAATTTGTCAAACCATACATATCCTTAATGACTTGAATATAAGCATTATTAACTCCTTTCTTTTCTAAAACCCTTCAGTGCACTTCTCTTGGAACTTTATCATACACTTATTCTAAATCAATAAACATCATATGTAGCTTCTCCTTACTCTCTCTATAACTCTTCACTAAAACCCTCATAAATGTATAGCTTCCATAGTAGACTTACCCTACATGAATCCAAACTTTGATAAACCTTAGTATAATGTCATGACCTCAATTAATATGTCCCATAATTTTAAAGTATGACACATTAACTTAATTCCTCTATAATTTGCATACTCTTATGCATCACCTTTATTCTTAAAAATATGAATCAAATATTGTTTCTCCAATCATCTAGCATCATTTTAGTTTTAAAAATAATATTAAAAAGCTTATTAAGCCAAGAAACTCCTTGATCTCCTAAACATTTTGACACTTCTATTGGATTATCATCTAGTCCTACAGCTCTCCACACTTCATTTTTTAAAAAGTTTCTCCAATTTAGATTTTACTAATACGACGGTAAAAATAAAAAATCTCTATTTTTTTTAGAGTGCTAAGGTCACAAAAATCAATTGTATTCAAAAGCTTATCGAAATATCTCATCCACCTATGTTGAATATCCTCTTTTAAAAAAAAAAATTATTTCATCCTTAAAGCACTTCACTTAAACTAAATCATCTTTCTCCTCTCTCTTTCCTTGACTAACTTATACATACATTTTTTGCTATATTTAGTATCTAATATATTATATAAATCACTATAAATTAAATTATTTGCATCACATGTTACTTTCTTAGACTTACAAAGGGTCTCTCTATATCTTTCTCAATTTTTTTAGCTTTTACATCTAAATCAATTTTTATAACAAAAAGTTTTATTTTTTATCTTTTCTTGCACTTTTTTATTCCACCACCAATTATTTTTATTATTATGAGATTGTTCTTTTGATTTTTCAAGAACATACTTTGCAATATTCATAATATCACAAGTTATTTTTTCTCGCATAACATTAACTTTTTCGTGAACAACTTAAATCTTTCTCTAAAATTATTTCTATTAGCATTATGTATCATCAATCCGAGGATAATATTTTACTTTATTTTTCAAGTTCCACCTCTTCATCTTAAAATTCAAGTTCCACCTCAAAAAAATTATACCTCCCATCAACTGTAAGAATATAATCCTTAACCTCATAATAGTTATAATGGAATTGCCTAAAATCATAATTAAATAGATTTGGTTTAAATTGCAACATTTTCGTTCCTTTGTTATCGAATTGAATAACTATTTTTGACTTCTAGTTGATATTATCAAACAACCTTAAGCTCTAAACGTCTTCAAATCAAGGGTGTATGATGTAGACCAAATAAGATCCACAAAATTATGTAACAAACAATTAACATTTCATAAACTCTTAATTTAAATAATTATTCTTTATTTTTTATGAAAATAAAAAATATGATGAGAAGCAAAGTTGATGATAAATTCATAATTTTTATCAGAAACTCTTTAAAAATCCAAAGGAGCCAAGAAAATCATACAATTGAAATAAACGCCCTCATAAGAACGGAGATTGTATTAGGCTGGAAATACAATAAATCATGCTGATACGCCCTAGGGTTCCCAAGTTTGGGTTTGCCCTAATGCTCCTTCAAAGAAAAGATTTCTCCTCCAAATCAAGGAAAAAAAACAACACAAGAGGGATGAGATGAAGAACCAAAACCTT